TTGATACAGAATTTACTGTGTAAAAATATTCATACATGATTACATCTGAAATAAACATATAAAACATATACAAATCCTAAGAATTCATCTTAAATCGCAATCACTTTGACATATTGTGCAAAATATTCTAGTTATAATTATTTTTTTAAAGGTGCATGCCTCCAGAGGAAGAAAGACTTGCTTTATAAAAATGTCTCCAGTTTTGGAGATATAAATGTCCAGACCGACCGCATTCCCAAAGATTTATTATAAATTAAAAATTAAGCAGCATGCCCCCTGAGATAAGCTAAAATATTTAAAGAAAATAAAATTTGAGAAACATACAAGGATTTTAAGAAAATAAAAAAAATCTTGTAATAATTCACATGTTATGTACTATTGATGACTGATTTTGCAGTAATCATTACTAAGACCCCCACGGTTACACGTTTAAATGGATTCGTTTTGATTTTCACTCGTAAACGTTTACGATATTTTTTACCGTTTAACCAAAATGAACATGTTGTCTTACAAAATATCTTTATCATTGCCTGTAATCATGGATTTTATCAATTCTAATTGGTTTATTCCAAAGTCAAAAACGGAAAATGGGTCCGCACAGCATTGCCGTGCAATACTCGCTCGAGACATAATACATTTTGATCTTTCAAAAGAGAAAAATGGGGATACATTGCAGAAAATGTGTGCCGACACAATCGTGATGAGTCCTGAATATTAAAATTTGTTTATGTATCAAAAATAGAAAGTAATTCATCATCTGGCGACTCAAATACATTGTGTAGTACATTTTGTGTATAGTACATAGAAGTACCATCGTTTAAACGGTATCGTTTCGGTTCTTAACAATCGTGTAAACGTTTACGAAAAATTGTAAACGTGGTAGCCTAATAATCATCACCATATTTCTGCAGTGTGACTAACATTTAATCTCTTTTTGGTAATTTACATGGATTGTAAGTGATGTTTGCAAATTACTGTTTTTGTTCACTTTACAATATTTTACTTTTTAGTACATTTTCAAAAAATTTCATCAAACTTAACCTCTATTCATTCAACATTTTACGAATACCAGAAAAAACTTGCCTAATAAAGAGTTTGATTTGCTAAATAAAAAACATCATTTATTGAATATATATTTTGCTTTTATACCTATTTAACAAAACTTTTCCAAATATGACAAATTAATATGCAAAATTTAAAAGGCATGAATCATCAATGTTAAAAAATTTAAATCACTATTACACAAATATTTTCTATACAACAATAATATGGCTTTTAAAAAGTCATTTTGTATGCAAAAATTTTCAAATCAACCTGCATGTTCATGACATGTCCACATATATCAGCTGACAAAATGGTACTTGAACTAAAATTGTTCCAATGTGTTAAAAATTTTAAGAATTGGGCCCTTAAGCTAATAAGCTTTTCATTCATTAATTAGGCCTCTAACCAATCAAAACAAGACTTAGTGTTATCCTAGAGCATTAATTTTGTTTATTTTACTCTGTGATCAATCTAAATTTTCTTTTAAATTCTAGAATGTTATCATCTTTAGTTTTTTCTAGGAAATACCATAATTCAATTTTTCAATTTCCTATTCTGTCAACAATTACCCCCCCCCCCCCACACACACCCAAAATTTGAGAATGTAAACTTACTGTTAGTGCTACTAACTGTGCATGCACAAAATTAAGGTATGTTTCTACAAGTTTGTTATCATATGGTTTTTTACTTTTTACATTTGTTTATCATTATGCATAATTTTTTTACATGCAAATTTATATGTCATAAATATATCAAGACAAAACATTATGCATCAATAATGGTCCAATAAACTGGTTTTGTCAGTAAGTCAATAAATTCCTTGGACAGGCAATGTCAAAATTTTTTCTATTTTGACTAATATAAACTAATAGTCTTTCATTTCAGATGGGTCAAATGAATCTTTATTCCCCTTTCTTATTTATTTCACTAACTTGTGTTACCCTCACGTAATTTATTCACAGGCAGGAATTGTCCGCACAAACAACAAGTGGACAATTTTATCAAGAGAAACAAAATTTTAATGTTGGTCAAAATAAACAAGTCAGTTGTTTGTTTGGGAATGGTATCGACTTGACAAATCGTTCTCCCCACTGGGCATTTTTACTGTATCACTAGGGGCCGAATGTTATTAATCTAAATGTAAAATTGTCCCTTTTTTCCCATTTCCAGAAAAAATTCCCAACAACAGCAAAAAAAAAGCAAGCTACTTCTAATTCTGAGAAAAAATTGAGTTGTTTTTACTTAATTCTTAATAAAAATGACAGATTCTAACTTTTATGATCATACGTTAAAAACTTAATAGTCATGTACATGTAAACTAAGGCTGTTTGTTGACTTCTTTAAATTTCCAATAATGTCAACAACCAATAAGAGGGCCATGATGGCCCTGAAATAGCTCGTCTGTATATAGGCCCCCCGAGTGCGAGACCAATTTTAACCCAGGGGCTTTTATTAGAACAAACTTGGTAGTCACTCACTAGAAGATAGATCATGTTTAATATCTAAACTCTAGCTCTTTCGGTTTTCTAAAAGAAGATTTTTAAAGTTTTTACTTTATACATATAAGGAAAATCAATGATACCCAGGGCGGGGCCAATTTTAACCCCAGGGCCCTTATTTGAACAAAAATGGTAGAAGATGTTTCATGCTAAATATCTTACTTAGCTCTAGCTCTTAGGGTTTTTTTTAAAGAAGATTGTTTAACTATTTACTATATACATAAAGGAAAAAACAATGACGCCCTAGGGCAAGACCAATTTTTACCTGTGGGCTTTTATTAGAACAAACTTGTGAGACGCCCACTAGAAGATGTTTCATGCTTAATATCTAAGCTCTAACTATTTGGGCTTTTAAAAAGAAGATTTTTTAAGTTTTTACTTTAAATATATTAGGAAAATCAAATATCCCCGGGGCCTGGCCAATTTTAAACCCAGGGCCCTTATTTGAACAAAAATGGTAGACATCCACTAGAAGATACTAAGATCGACAACCACTGATTGGCTGAACAAAGAAAAAAACTAAATTAAGCATTTTCGCAGCCGTCCAGGTTTGGTGGTTGTCAGGTTTTGATGGTCCCCAACCAGTATAACCGGAAAACTGCTAGGGGACGGAAACTGCTAGGAAACCATAGATATAAACTCAAAATAAATTATATTTCTATTATCTCTGGATAATAATAATTTAGGCCTATAATAATATAAATCATAGAGAAAAAAAACTAAATAGATAGAATGATTCCGGGTCAGCTCGGCCCTAAAACGTACTCGGCCCCCGAGTCAGCTCGGCCCTATACCAACTCGGCACGGGTCAACTGTGTCCACTTTTCAATTATTTATATTTAGGTTTGTGTAATCACTATTTTTTGTAATATTTGTAATTATGTATAATACACGGACATAATTTTCAGCTTTTGACAATTACAAACAAATTAAATGAAATTGGTTAAAGTCATTAAAGGGACTCTTATAGTCACAGGCTATTATTATTAATCAGTGTGTTCGTAAGGATACCGATTAATTAGGTGATAATTATGATTGACGCATTCATTTAAGATTGATTAGTGACCACCTGCAATTAATTAGAAGCTTAATTATGATCTTAAGTAAACATGTTTTTGTTTGATATTTTTTTTTAATATTACTACGTTAAATATATTTTTTTAAAGTGGGCTGAGTTGACCCGTGCCGAGTTGGTATAGGGCCGAGTTGACTCTTTTCCGATAGAAAAATAATATAATTTTATTTGATGATATCATTTTTTCCTATTCTGTTCATGTCTAATTTCAGGTTTGTTCCTGAATATAATCTCAGTTATTTTTTTTTAATCTTCATCCATAGAGTCACCGTACCAGTGCTCAACCAGTTTTTCACAAAATCACATAAAAACTCTTTCAGAACAAAAAGTTTGCTGGGAAACTTATTTTTGATACAAAGCTGGCCCTTTCAAACTCCCAATAAGCTAAAGCGTTTTAATTTCACAGATCAGTATACAATTTATCACGGTGTTGTATATAGGGTATAAAACCACTATATTTTTCAGACAACCAAACCAGTGCTCGACCAGGTGGTTTTATCTCTATCAGAACTTTTATTTCTTATAAACAGATATGACTTTTTATGTTCAACAATTCTATTTCAAAAATATTTTGAAACATTTATGTTTTATTGTCTATAGATGAAAATATGATAGCAAATATGATGCAAAGGAAATGCTATACATTGACAAATAAAGTGTTTATAAGAGTTTAGAATTTACATATACTGGGGCGTTTGAGATTACTTATTCTCATATTTTTTTTACTAAAATCACTCTGCAAACATAGTTCAGTGTGATAATTGGTGTAATATACAAATGGTCTACGCTTTTAGTGGTGTGTTCCCAATTTGTTTTCGTACAGTTGCCATATTTGTTTACATGTTCATAGCCCCTGCCTTTTATGGAAAGCAGGGTTTTGATAATTTTTGAACACCTTTCCTATGGAAATCAATTGGAATCATAAAAGTAAAGGCAATTTAACAAATATTGTCTACATTTGCCCTAAATTATCATTATTTCAGTGTTTTAGATAGTTTTTACTGCTACTTTTATTATAAAATTGTATTTTTGTACTGTTTAATATTGTCTGCAAAATGGTAAATCTTCTACCAAACTTGGAGTACTTGTACATGGTGTAGAGGTTACAGGTCAGGTACAAATAGCAAGCACAAACTCCCAGGGTTTTTTCCACTTTAATGCATAAATCATACACAAATAGAAGTATTGGTCGAGCACTGGGCTGGTCGAGCACAGGTACTGTGACTCTATTTATTTCCTACCAAATGAGTAACATCATCACTGATCATATATGATTTGCATAGTATTAGTAAGGCAATCAGATATTTTTCCTTAAGTCTTATTTTGAACATATGTAATGTTTGAATGAATCACAAATTAATTATGAAAACAAAATAACTTACTTGTGAACAAATGAGGAAGTTGCAGACAAATTGATTTGTTTCCAAGTCAAACGTGTGAAATCAATTGTGCACTCGGGACGAATGTTTTACTTGCACTCGGCACGAACATTGTCAAGACAGGATTTGTGGTTTGGGGAAGAATCCAATCATCGTTCACAATGATTGAAAAGAACTGCATACATTTTTCAGTCTATTAGATATTATTTCAATATTTAATACACTAATTTATAACAGTAACACAACATTTATCTTTTTTTTACAATTTACGGACAGTTTTGTCAACCGGAAGTTTACATAATATTTTGAATGGTTCTAGAAATTGATAAATTTATGTTAATGATACTGTACCAAAGAAAATATTTTACAAAAAGCTTACTATCTTTCACCAGTGTTGTTTTCGTTATTTCTATATGATCTTGCACAGATTATGTCTGAAAAACATGCTGGTCTATATACACTTGCTGATGATGTGAAAAGCTTATTATGTAATGAAGATTAAGAGGTGTTTTTTTGGACTATTTCTGCTCGGTAGACAGACATTTCACTATTAAGACGGTTCACACCAAGACGTTTCACTCCCAAATGGTAGTGAAACGTCTTGAAGACGTTTCACTCCCTTTTTATACCAAATTATTTTGATACTTATGATAATATGTCTTCAAGAGGGAAGTACTACCACTCACTCTCCAATAGACAGTCAGCTGTTTTTACCTTTTTACCAGCACTATACATAGTACTTTTAAAATCACTTTTGTACATACATAGACACTTCTCACACGCGCTGCGCTAGTACGAGTAGACGCCGGAAGGTGTCTGTACTATATTGGAAGAAGAAGAAGATATACTAAGATAGACCTAAAATATTGAATTGAATTGAACTAAAATAGACCTTAAATTGATTAAAATAAATTAAAAAGGGGGATTTCACTTTTTTGTCAATGTCTAAAAACTCGACCAGTACTTTAAGATCATTTCAGATTTCAATTAACTTTGAGTAACGTGTTTTTTTGTTGTTAATTTTAAACATGGGATAAAAAATTGTTAAATTATTTAATGCTAGTATAGTGATTTTGCGATATGTCAAAAATTTTAATGGCCATTGAAATCAGAAATATCTTTAAATAAAATTAGAAGCATTGGGACTTTTTCAATATTTATCATGCATAATGATTTATGTATTACGTGTTTTGTATTATGACTGTGTACAACTATGTATATACGTCAATAAATTATATTTATCTATCATAATCATTTTTTGTGACTAAAATTCATTATTATATAAACAAAACTTATGGAAAAGTTTCTGTGTTTAAATTGGCTGTTGTCAAAAAAATATTTTAATGGTCCAATAAACAACTGATTAGTAAACTTTACTGTTGAAGCTTAAGTGCAGTGTTTATACAACTGATGTAATAGTGGTGTCAAACTGTTAGTTGATTGTCTCAGTGTTTATACAAAATTACTAATTAGATACATGTAACACCACAATTACTTAAGTTTGTTTAATAGCTACTGTTTAATAAATTGATGAAGAAAGTAATTTTAAAAAATCATTTATTTTATACACATGTTTCGAATTTCATTGTTTAAGACTTACAAATAAATCATTATATAGTCAATATATTTAATATATTGATATTTTTTTTATTATTTGAATAATATTAATTACTTTACTGGTAGTGATTTCAATATGTAAACTGATACTTATAATATGTCTTAATTGTTCTTTCTATGTTATTCTATTTTTTTTAATTTACTATAGATAGAATTTTCTCATGTTGTTACACTTATAATAAAAGTGACATTTCAGAAATTTGTCTTTCATTTACACCTCTTATCACTCAACTTATAATTAAATGAGTAATCTTGTAATAATTTGTATTAACAATACCATTGAAATTAACAAAATGAATCATTTATATATTAATTGAATTTCCTTCTTACACTGTTTGATATTAATGAAATTAAAATTTGTTAACTTTCCTAGTAAACACTTCTAAAAATTGGGAGTGAAACATCCATACAATTGACAAAATGGGAGTGAAACGTCTAGGTGTGAACCGTCTTGGGAGTGAAACGTCTCAATAGTGAAATGTCTTGGGAGTGAAACGTCTGACATTCGATGTTGTAGCATTTGTATAAATTATAATACATTTGTAAATATAGAAAATATCATTTTCATATTAAATTTTGCCCAGGCAAAAATCGTAATTTCTGACTTAATTTTCAGGTCATATTTCATGAAAATAATTAATCAAACATTTTATCAGGTTGTTTTCGTAAACGTGTTTTGATAATCATAATATTGTTTTGTCTTTCAGTGAATATCAGAGATTGTGAAAATTATGATAATTCTGTCGAACTGTCGAAAGTTCACAGAGGAGGAAGATGAAATTATTAAGAGGAAAAGAAGAAGAAAAACACTCAAGATTTTGTGACAGGTATATTTCAAAATATTACATTGATCACGAAGCCATTTTTATCAAAATCAATGAATATATAGGTACATGAAACTACATGGTTTAAACTAAAGTAAATAAAAATTAAGCCTCTTTTGTTAAAGTAGTTGAATCTGAATCTGAATCTGAATGTATACACTGCAGAACCTTCCGGTATGTACGCAGCGGGAGAGAAGAGCTAAGTAATTTAGTAGCACTGTTGGAGAGCTGTTTTAAAGCTCTTTACTGTCTCTGCGCACACAACGGCACTGTCTAAGTTATTCCAATCACTAATAGTCTTAGGAAAGAATGAATGTTCAAATTGGTCACTTTTTGAGATAATAGGTTTATAGCAATTTTGATGGTTTATAGCTTGGGTTTTCTACAATGGTTTTTTAGTTATGTAATTTGTCTAGTTTCTTAGGTTTAACTAAGGCGGTTTGCCAACGAATAGGGGGTCAGATAGGTATCGGTGGGCATACCTGGCACCCAGCCATCAGCCACTTTGAAGAAGAATGTCAATCGTGCCATTTTCCTTCTGTCTTGTAATGGAGATAGCTCAAAGTTGCTCAAACATCCTGGTAACCGCAGCCTGATCTCTTGATTTGTAATCCCCAGAATTAAATCTAGCAGTCCTTCCGTTGGATCGACTCAAGCTTGTCTATATCTTTCTGTAGAACTGGGTCCCATACAATTGAGCTGTATTCAAGAGTTTATCTAACAAGGGATAAGTAAGCTGTTTTCCTGCAGAGTAGTGGGCAGTTGTTTAAGGTTTCTCTTGAGGATACGAGTGTAGAGCTTGCTTTGTTGGTAATCTTCGTGAATGTGGTTCCAAAATTTTTAGATTGTCTGTAAAAACTGACACCAAGGTATGGATTTCATCAACTTGTTGTTAGATATGATTGTTCTAGTGGTAAAAGTTAGTGGATCTGTTGTTAATACTCATAACATAACATTTTTGGCATTGAATTTCATACCTCAAGTAGATGCCCAAGATTTCCAGTGATTTTCAGGTCTGTTTGCTAGTTGGAGATGGTCTTTTCTGGTTTTAATTTTGCGGTATAGGAGACAGTCATCGCGAAGAGACAGACAGTTGATTTTAAACGCAGTCTGGAAGTTCATTTATCATGCAGATGAAGGCTAGAGGCTCGAGGACAGTACCTTGCGGAACTCCTGAGCTACTGGACTGGTTCGGATGCTTCACCGTTCTACCACTACTTCTCATAGTTCTTGTTGTAAAAGTCTCGAAGCCACCGGTTAATGTTTCCGTTCAATACCATATTAAATAACCATCTTGTGAAGTAAGTTTCATGATGGGACGGTATCGAAGTCTTTAAAAAGTCCAATACTCATCCATAATCTATCTGAGATTTATAGTTCATTGTGTTGTAGTTAATCATGGAACTTGTTTTGAGAGCTGGGTTTCAATGGTAGCCTGATTTTGAAAGCCGTGGTTTAGTGAGTTGAGGATTTGTTTTTGTTCAAGGTGCGTCAAGGATGTGGCTTGCAAATAATATTTCAGTAGTTTACAAAGACTGATTGAGTGAAAAAGGACGATAAATTTCGGCAAGTTGTGAGTCGCCCTTCTTGAAGACAGGGGATATGTTTGCGCTTCGCCAATCTGAGGGTATTTACCACTGTCATTGATGTTTGGAAAATGTTGGGTTTAAAGTGTGCAAGGGTCTTGGCACAGTTTAAAGGACAAGTTTGGAATTCCATCGTGGATATGGCTTTGCTGGTTTCTTTTATTGTTAAGTAGGTTTTCTATGCATTTGAGTTATTTTCAGTGGACGTATTTGGGCTATAGCTCTTAATCTTGTCGATGGCTTTATTGTTGTTTACTTTGGAAAGACGGATCTGAATTGTTCAATTAATTATTTCTGCTTTTCTTTGCTGCTATTGAATAGTTGTCCTTTTTTTTTCTTTAGTGGTTTGTACGCCAATATTGTCTTGCCTTCTTGATTTAATTAGCCGCCAGAAAGGTTTACTGTTTTTTCTTGGAGAGTTGGAGAGTTTTGTCAGAATTTCATTTAATTATAATATGTAAAAGTGATTTGTTTCTTGCAATTGTAACTGATTATTTGATTAATTTTTAAATTTCAGATTGTGTGAATGATGATATCTCAGGTTTGAGACGGTAAAGGTTCAGATTATGATATGCTTAAACTTTAAAGTATGCCCAAGATCCGCCATAGCTGGAGGGCAGTGAAGTAAGAAGAATGCTTATTTAAGATATGGACATTCTTATTTGTATTTATATCAAAATATTCACAATATTGTTCCATTTAAACATTTCAGATAAAAAGTACAAAAAAAAATTTATACAATCAGTTTGGGTTGGATACGATAGATGATTGGAAAATCCAACACCGGGTGATCGTTTTCATCCGGAAATAATCCTTGGTGATATAAGAAAAACAGCATGATGTTAACCATAAAAAATGTAGTGTTAATGTTTATTGAGAATTTTCTTATATCTAAACATGATTATTTTAATACGTAGAGCGTTATTTACGTACATACTGTCAAGTTTAATAGCTTCAAAATACATTATGTTAATGTTACATTGTTATAGTACCACATTTATTTTTTTGTAATGTGGTTCGTATTGAAAATAAATTGTTAAATTATAAGAATGCTTATTTGTTACCTTACAATGAGCTTAAAATGAAAAAAAAAAGTCATATTCCAAAAAGTTTGAAATGAGGTTAAATCATGGTCAGATAAGGTTGGATTATGGTCAGATAATGGTCAGAAAAGGTTGGATTGTGGTCAGATATTGGTCAGAAAAGATTGGATTATGGTCAGATATTGGTCAGAAAATGTTGGATTATGTCCAAATAATGGTCAGAAAATGTTGGATTATGGTCAGATAAGGTTGGATAAGGGTCATTTTATGACGCTGTATAGACGTCGGATTCTGACGTCTAAAAAACTTTCAAATCCAACCTTCTGCCAACGTTTACCCAACGTCAGGGTCTAACGTCAGTACAACGTTGGAACAACGTCTTTTGTTTGCTGGGTTTATGCTGTTGATATTGGAATTTTAGCAGAAAATACAGATAAGCTTTGAACATACTACATTAGAAGCTATGCTAGAATATTGTAATTTTTGGAATTTAAAAGTGAACTCTGCAAAAACAAAGGTTTTATAATATTTTCTAGAGATCGTATGGAAGATGCACTTAAATTTTCTTTTGATAATGAGAACGAACTTAGAATAAGTACATGATTGTTCTTATCTAGGTATTCAATTTATGGAAAATGGTAAATTTGTTAAAACTAGAAAACGTCTTATTGACCAAGCAAAGAACGCTATGTTCTCTCTGATAAAAAAAACTATAAAATTGTTACTACATGTATCTGTAGATCTACAGATCCAATTGTTTAACACAATGATTGTTCCTATTCTTTGTTATGGCTCTGGAGTTTGGGGAATAGAAAATTTTACTCAGCTTAAATTTTACAAAAGTATACTTATAAGCTGAAGGAGAGACCTCCCAATTGTATATGGTGAACTTAGAGTTACTCCGATATCTTTGCAAATAAAAAGGAGAATTATTAACTACGGGTGTAAGCTTTTGAATGTTATAGATGATAAGATTTGTAATATTTTATATCAGACTGCATACTCATTATATGTTAGATAAAGGACTGAATTAATTACCGTGGCTTTCTTTTGTTAAGGATACTTCGGACGATCTTGGTTTATCAAATTATTGGTCAAGTCAATTTGAACATAGTCCGTTTAATTTCAAAAGTCTTATTAAGTCCAAAATTCGAGAGCAGTTCATCTTAAGTTGGAACAGTGATGTCCAATCTTTAAGCAAATGTTAAAACTACGGTTTATATAAATCGGGGTATGCATTATTTCAACAAACATCCTTGGCAATTATATTCAGCCTTGTTAAAATTTAGATGTACGAATCATAAAATGCCTATTGAGAAAGGTAGATTCCTAAATATAGAGAGAAATTTACGTATATATAATTTATGTGATCAAAACCCAAATGGGTGTCGAGGAATCACTATCTTCTTTTATTGCTTTTAAAAATTTTGTTTACATAGTAGACGTAAAATCATTGATCCAAAAAACTTCTACTAGTTAAGAACGTTTAGAAATTGTTGCAGAATGAATTACCTTCTGAAGTACTACTTAACAACCGTTCCGGTTGCGATAGGGGGCTGGGGGAATGTTGCCCAGTATTCATTATCCTTCATGCACAGACTCCCAATCAAAAACCTAGGTCTAAAAATTTCTAAATGTTAAAATTTTTTGTGTTTTAAAGCTCTGATTAACCCGATTTTTGTCCACCAACAGCAGGGGTTTAAGGCTTTGTGGAAACTGTTAAAAAAATTGCCCCGTTTCTTCCCATAATGTTTTTAATATATTTGTTTTTCCTTCGGGAAAAATTGATCCAGCCTATCAAAAAGTTAAATTAGTTCCCTCTTGAAGTACCCCAAAACCTTAGGGGCTATAAAAGGGGGTGAGGGTGTTGCACGTATCCCCAATTTTCCGTCATGTACCCGAAAACAATTAAACCCCCAGTTCTTTTAATTTTTTTTTGTGAAATGCTTCTGAAGGGGACAAATTTTTTTCCCCAAATTTTTTTTCTATCTTAAAAACCCCATTTTTATAGGGAACCCCCCAAAGCAAATTGGGAAAATTTATGATCCCCTTTTGAATTTTGTAAAAACCCCCAAAACACATTTAAAGATTTTCCGTATGTTGTTTAAAAAAGTGGGTTAAAACCCCACAATTTAAATTAATATATGTATAAATTTTTGGGAAAAAAGAAATAAAAATTCAAACAATCAAAGAATTTGGAAAAAAATTGTACTGCTAATTTTAGGGGGAAAATTTTAGCTTTTATTAAAAATTTTGCAATCCCCTTTTCTTTAAATTTCAAAAAATTTTACTTAAACTTTAAAAAAAAAATAAATTTCTAAAAACCCATTTAAAAGGATTAAATTTAAAAAATTTGGGTTTTAAAATTTATTTTTTTTTCGAAAAAAAGCTTTTTTGGAAAACCCACAATTTAAGATAAAATCTTAATTTTTAGCATCAAAAATTTTATGAATTTTCCTTTAAACCCAAAAAAAGTGTTACAGGACCTTTTTAAAAACTTGGGTTAAAAATTTTGTTAAAAAAAAATAGTTACATTATGCAAATTCCAGTAAAATGTTTTTAAAACATTTTTCCCCAAAAAAAATTTGTTTTTTAAAACAAAAATTCCCCGGTTTTTTATTGGTTAAATCATTAAAACTTTTAATTTTAAATTTTTTGGGGAACCCAAATAATTGTCACTCAATTCTCCCTTTTTAAAATTTTTATATTTTTTATATTTTTCTTGCCCGTATGTTACATTTTTTCACAATTTTTAAAAATATTTTTTTCACATGTTCTTTTTTTAACCCTTTACAGTAGGAAAAAAAACTTAAATTTTTTAATTAAACTCTTTTTTTTTTAGGGGTTTTAAATTTTTTTAATAAAAAATTTAAAAATTATTAAAACCGAAAATTTTAATTTTTTACGGTTAAAATATATAAATTGTCACTTTACTCTCTCTTTTTTTGTAATTATTTTTTTCAGGCTATTAAAATTTTTCACAAAAATTTTTAATAAACACATGTTTTTAGAACCAAAAAGAAGCCAAATAAAATTTGTGAGTTACCGAGATTAAATTAAACTCCAGCAATGGAAAAAAATAGGGGGGAAACCAAATAATGGTGGTTTTAAACAGCCCCAACAACAAAGTAATTGTTTTAAATGAGAAAAATTTTATTCCCCTTGGGGTTTAAAAGTTTTAAATACTGAAACTTTTTTCTAAGGGTTTCAAAAAAAATACTGTTTGTACTGTTGTTTAAAATTTGCCCAAAATGAAAAAAAAAAACTTTTCTTTTTTTCCCTTTTTTAACTTTAAAGAAAAATTTTCAATAATAAAAAAACCCTTTAAAATTTTAAAATTGGGGTTAAATCATTATTATGATTTTTTTTGTAAAAAATACCCTTATTTGTTTTAAATAATAGACCCCTTTTAAAAAATTGCAATTTTATTTTCAAATTTTATAAAAAAGCCTTTAAAAATGAATTTTTGAAAGCCCTTTCGCTCACTTAAATTCGTCAAAAAAAATTTACTTTTGTATTTTAGGGAAAAACCCATAAAACCGGGCCCTCTGAACCGCAACAAAAGGCAGGATATTTTTATTCAGATGCTCGTTTACAATTCCTCCATCTTTAAAAAAGAGGGTCTACAGAAAGACAAAAAAGAAATCATTTATTAAAGTAATAAAACTCCCCCAAAATTTAGTGGGTCAGGGGTAAAATTTTTGTTGGTGTTTAGTTTTAAAACCCCTTTTTTGGAAATTCTTTTTGAACAACCAGGGCTTAAAGATATCCCTCCCCCCCAAATTTCCCCCTTTTTTTGAACGTATTCTGAAAATAGGGTGGGGGGAAATAGCCCCTATAAATAAATTTCCAATAAAATTTTTTCCCCAAACGTTACTTAAAAATTAAAGTATTTTGTTTCAAATGAAAGATTTAATAAAATTTTTCACAGAATTGATTAAAAAAATGTCGTTTTCCAATAGTATATTTTAAAAATAATTTTTCACCCGGTAATTAAGTTTTTTTTAAAATTTTTTTCAGGGAAGTCCCAAAAAATGGGGGCCAAAAAATTCCCGGGAAAAAAATTTTATTAAAAAGCCAGAGTGATGTGCTTCGATTCTTACTCCGTGTGAGGACATGGCAATATCGTCAGTTGTCCGCAATTCACCGTGCCCCCAGGCCAAACAGACCAGACAAGGCCAGACGATTGGGTTACAGAGCTAAGCAAGGTTTTAATTTATAAATTATTTAATAGCAATGGAATTTGTAAGCTTGTAGAACTAGATTATTTGAAAATGATTTGTCCTGGTACAGAGCAGCTACATTTGATACATCTCTGGTCCTGGTATGAATAGTTTACATATTTTCATGAAAGGCTGTCTGGATGGGCCTATCCTAAATTAGCTAAAGATACTTCAGCGAACAGGTTTTATAGTATTGCTAGACCTGTTCGCTGAAGCCAACCCCGTATCGAAAGTCAACCAGACCCGTGACATTTTTATGTCATGCTGTAATTCAATAAATTTGCGTGATCTGGACAAAAACTATTTTAATACAAGTAGTTAGATATATTTTGGGACCTTCAGTCTATATTTTTGAACACAGAATGTTAGATTAATGAAATATTGCCTCAAAGTTTATCAGCGGGTTCACATTTCATAAAATTCGCCGCCATTGCTGTCCTAATTATCACGTGACCAGCGAGAATTTAGGTTCGGATACCTTTGCATGACATTTGGTGACACGTGACCCAAAAGCTATTTTTAATTGAAAGCATGGCTTTGCAGTTATGAATAACGGTGTATTTATTCAATAACAGACATTGTACCAAAAACATGTTGGATTTATATTGTTTTGAGTGATGATTCATGAATTATTTGTTTGTTTTTATTATAAAATCATACACTTATAATAAGTTACTAAAAATAGTGTATGGTCCGTTACTAAAAATAGATGCTAGGAATTTCCAAAAACATGAAAGTTCCCGCGAGATCTCATTTTGAAAGCAGACTCCATATTGGTAAACATCCTCTACATATTTCTCTTAAAAATAGTTGGGTACACAATGTCATTGATAGTTTCATTTAAAAACAAAACATGAATTGGTTCAAAATTGATTTGTTTATCAAACGATATTTTTATTTGACCCAAATTTGTTTAATAAGGGTGATTTTAGTAGGTTTTTATGTACGGCGCACGAACTGTCAAATTCTGGTAGCCTTTGCAAATAGGGTTGACCCATAACTTTACTGTCGCAACGTCAAAATAAAAGCGACATATAAAGTTATGGAAGCCAGAACTAATCCTAAATTTGTCCATAAGGTCTAAAGACTCCTTACATATTTATAGTACAAAAGATTATAGTACTGTTGAAAATGGGTATTGTGATTAAACCCATAGGTTATATCCAGGAATTAGACCAGGAGTATATTACTATTATATTCCTGATCAATCACAACAAAATTGAACTGCACCATCTGGGAATTGAACCTTGGTCGCCTGATTCACAGTCCAACACTATACCTATTGAGCTAACTGGATGTTTAATGACAATGGAATGAACCTCATGTGTACTTCAAGTTTAGACTCTGGATCTATTTCAGGATAAAGCCTCTGGAACAGACCCTATTTATTACAGAATTATACCTATAATACAAAATGAGCCTACAATATATAATATAATTAGGGTTGATTCGTCGTCTTTAGCCACAGAGCAATATTAAAATGTTGTTAAGAGTTTTTAATTCCTATGTTTGAATACTTCAGGATACGTCATTTACCGTGTCCGTGTTCGCCGTGGTGGACGCAAAAGGCCTGTTCCCAAAGGTTGCACATATGGAAAGCCCAAGTCTCATGGTGTGAACCAACTTAAATTCCAGAGGTCACACAGATCTGTAGCAGAGGTTGGTATGATGCACAATTCATCTGAATTGTTAATTCTCATTCTTTAATTTAATGTCATTGAGTTTAATCTGCATAAATTGTTCAAATTTGTGTTGCATGGAAGTCTTAAAAATTGTTCTCGGGAAGAACTCGGATAAGATATCTAGGGCTCTTTGTTAAATCCTTAAAGGCAGTGTTATTTTAATGCAGTTTTGGGGCTGAACATAAAAAGCAAACCTAAGAATTCTGAAAAGGAGAATAGCACACACATGGTTTAAGACTTTACTAAGCTTTATAGATCTGATTAACTCTTCAATGTTTTCAGGAACGAGCTGGTCGTCGCTGCAGGGCCCTCCGTGTTCTGAACTCCTACTGGGTGGCTGAAGATGCTACATACAAATTTTATGAAATCATTATGGTAGACCCATTCCACAAATGCATCCGTAGTGATCCAAAAATTAACTGGATTTGCAGACCTGTGATGAAGCACAGAGAAGTACGTGGTCTCACATCTGCTGGCAAGTCCTCCCGTGGTCTTGGAAAGGGTCACAAGTTCAACAACTCCAAGGGTGGCTCTGTCCATGCCAACTGGAAGAAGCACAATACCCTCAGTCTCCGCAGGAAGCGTTAAAATTTTCATTTTCTTTAATATTTTTTTCTCTTTTATTTTGACCAACTGTCGGGACGTCAATTCTTGGAATGCCTATTTAGTTTCATGTCAAGTGAGAGTTGTAATTGAAATAAAAGTGGCTTTTCACATGTGCAGCATACAAACTTTTTGTTTTTATTTGCTATGTTTAATAGGTAAAGTGTGTAGGGTACAGCACTGCTTAGGCTGAAAGCAATTTGATACATTACAATTGATAATCATATTCTTTGAAATAACACTAAATATGGCCTGCTTACAGCGTTGCCATAAGGAGATGGCAGTTGGCCAAAATGACAGTCTCAAATGCATTTTGGGCCGCCATGATACTTTGAAAATACTGTATAATTGTAAAGAATTGTTTTAAATTCAGAATGGACCGCCTCTCGGGAATTTTTTAATGACAACCCTGGCTTAAAGAAAGCTTGACTGTTGATAATTGTTGATTCTATTTAACGTAAAGATAGGCTCTCAATAGATAAGGTAACAAGATATGAAAAGCATTGTAATTTTCCAGAAATGGAAGAAAACATATTAGGTAAAATTTTAATATCAAACATTTTATGTTATGTCCATTCAAAATTATCCAGAATGCACTGGACTATTCAAGTGATTTCATAGCCCTAGCCCTGTAAATAGTGCATAACAATTGTAAACGAGTGATTTAGAAATCTTTGAAAATGGAACTTTCTTGGACTAGATGTAGATCATATCATGAATTCTTTGAAGCAAGTAAGCTGCCTGTCTGCCATACCAATTTATCTCTATTTATGAAATTTTATCCAAATAACTTGTGAAATCTTATTAGTGACCCTTCTTTCAATAGATAATTTCACTTTCAGTAAGTTGTAGGGTTAAACATATTTGCTGACATTACATTCTCTCACTGTAGTTACTGATTGGCTGTAACCATCTGTATCGGGTCACTTAAAAGTGGTTTTAATAGGGAGACTTGAAGTGCTTAAAAATTTGAGCAACTGTACTGAAAGATTTTATCTTTCATAGACTTGGAATGGTTGTTAGTGGCAGCTTGTCTAAGGGGTTAACACGTGTAAAGTTAAACCCCATTGGGGTAAATTGTTTCTTTGAACAATCAGTACTGGTTGGTTGCAGGAACAGATTTGAGTGTGTTTATATGCTTGTAGCTTCCTACACAAACTAAATGATATTCTGTATAACCTAGAAAGATTTTGGTACATAGCATTGAATGTCTTTACTGTAAAAACTGGCAAAAACCATGATATAGTAAGCAGTCGTGTAAAGGCAATCTTTATTATAAGCACGAAAAAAAATATTTTTGTTATATTGTTGGACACTGCCATCTGTCAGCAATTTTGTCTGCTCTGCCATTTCAACTGGTTGAAGGAAATTGAAACTACTTGGTGTAATGTTAACCATAATGAGATGATGTGCAGAGCACACGACAGATTTCACCTTCCTCAGGTCAAGGTCACACTTTGTCGTATACATGTATAAATTTCAACATAGTTACCTTTGAAAGCTTATCTGGAGCTCTGTTACATTTGGGCGTTTATTGCCCTACCCTGTTAATTTATTCCACACATTTAAACAGCACTTACTTTGACAAGTCAGTCTTGTATTATTTACATTGATGGAAATTGAACCTGTTTAGATGTTCCTGAACAACACCAATACTACTGTCCTAAAGCCAATAGTCCAAATATTTGTAAACATCTATTCTTGTTTGAATTGTGTCAGTAGTGAACAAGTAGGCATGTACATGGAAATGATGGACACTCCACAGTCGCACGTGATCGTATGTGGAATTTGTAGAGGGCAGGAGCAGTTAATAATCTTTATATATAATCTTTATTTAAAGTGAGATCAAAAAGAAAGTAAACTGCACAGCAGTTACAGTTATTGCACACTGCATACCCTCTAATTACAGTGTACTTAACCTTGTAAGGAATCTTATTCTGAACAGCTTAACTGGTAAAGGAAGACCTCGGGTGTCCCTCCATGCTTTATTTTGGGCACCTGAGTAGAACCACTACTGTTCTGTAAGCTAGCTGGATAGCTTCCTCGTATGAATCTGAAGTCGTTAAAGGGATTCAAACAACATGTTTCTAAATGTAATAGAAATTGCATCTGAAATTTACAAAATGCATCAAGACATCTTGATTATATCACGATAAATAATCATCATACTTACCATTTAGACAAAATGAATGCAGTTTAAAATGCTCCAGTCTCCTAAATAAATATCCACTATAGCATAGCTCTGTTTTACATATTTATATTGTTACCATCTTTCTGACAAGATCTTGACCACAATAGATTTAAAATTCTGAGTATTTATATATCTTTCCTCTAGCTTCAAAATATATCGTGAAATAATGAACAGTAAGCAGTTACAAGTTTCTGAAACTACAGCACTTTTCACTGAAAACCATGTTGCTAACTTGACATATTGTATCACCATACCGCATCACGAGGACAATAATCATGATTCATCATGAATGCATCTCCTTTTGGTTTTCTGGGTTTAACAGCACATTTACACATAACTGGCCATACCACGCTGGACACTATAATTGGTAACAGAAAGTTATTAAACCTAAAAGGTTTGTACAAGGGTATGAAATGAGCAAGTTAAATTGAAGAATACTGGTTAATTTCTTTTAAGAGATCAATCAAGGTTTTGGAAGGAACAGAGACAAATGGTTCTGAAAGTGAATTTACTTGGTAATTTCTAACACAAACCTGTGCAAGATCATGCCATTCAAGCAGGAAATGTTTGACGGTGAAATATTCATTGCAACCATTACAAAAAGGAGCATCATCATCTGTTAAAGCAGCACACCTCCAGATTCCTGCTAATGTTCATGAAAATTTTGAAAATGTATTCAAAAGTAAAATATTAAGCTGAGAGAGAAAATAATATGCACATTTCAAACAGCACTTACAACCTATGTTAATTTCAACAAGAGCGATCAGTGATCACATGTGTCGCCTCATGATGGCCAATTTCATGTATCCGTGATCACGTGTCGCCTCATGATGGCCAATTTCATGTTGGGGACAAGTTTTGTGACAGACGGACAGTGCACAAGTAGACTTGGTACTGATCATTCCTGTAATGTTTGGATAAAATTGCACCAGTGGTTTATGAGGAGTAGTCCAGCCAAGCTTTTGTGTATCTGGCACACACAGAAAAAAACACCTTTTTATCAAAGGGCCATAACTCGGCAAAATATCATTCAACCAGAAAACCCGTGCAATATGCGCAAGGACTTGAGCTACAGATCAATCCTGTAAAGTTTCATTGAAATTGCATTAGTGGTATAAGAGAAGTAGTCCGGACAAACTTTAAAAATAAAATTTATTAAAGGGCCATAACTCTGACAAAAATCATTGAACCGGAAAATGCTGAAAATATGCACAACTAGACTTGGTACTGATCATTCCTGCAAAGTTTGGATGAAATTGCACCAGTTGTTTATGAGGAGTAGTCCGGACAAGTTTTGTGGCGGACAGACAGACGACGGAGAAGTGATCCGTATATGTTGCCACTACTCCGTAGAGGCGACACAAAAAAGAGGTCAAAATATGCAAAATTAAACCTTACTGCGTTAGTAACGCAGTAGAAATATGGTGAAAATTACTGAAAAATTGGCCATCAATTGCAAATAATATGGAAATTATTACTTTTATCTTTAGTCTTTTTACTTTTCATAAAGCCTCAATACATTTTTCTCAAGTTTTATTTTCTTGAAATATTTTGGCTCATCTGGAGGCATGCAGCTTTAAAAGATGAGAATGTGCAACTCTGATGTGTCCTATTCAACATCTAAGAAGAACCACAAACAAACAACAAGTAAAGATTTTGATGCTAAAGCATCAAGTCGCCGGATAGAAAAATGATTGTATTATCATAAATATAAGAAAATATAAGTTTAATGGTTCAAGTATAAAAATAAGAGGAACAATGAGTTGAGTAATGTTTGCCACTGAGGCTTGTAAAGGCAAGTGCTATGTTGGTAATTCTTCTAGTAATTGTACTTTATACATATACTGTTGTACCATACATTGAAATCCGTATAGGTTACTAGTTCAGATTGAGATAATTACCGACAAATAATTACCGATCATCGAATATTTGCAAAGTGACTATGAAAATATATATGTTTAATTATTTCATGAAACAATGCGATTTTACTGTAAAAGTGTTGTGCATCATTATTATGTGCTATCGAAAAAACAGTTATTCCCATCGTTACATACGATATATAAAATCAACGTTTAATTGCCTTTCAGTGCGATAAACTATCAACACAAAGATAGTTTATTATTTTTTTTTCTATGTATTTAATACGATTCCGGACCCCTTACGTCATACCGTTTTGGAAACCTGTGCGACGGAAACCGACGGAATATACCGAAATCAACGATTACCATACTGTGCCTCTTAAGCATAAAATTATTTTGGGATGTTCAACCTAAACTAAACTATTGAACTTTTTTGTCGAAATTTTGACAGAACGGGCCAAGTTTAACCCTTTACCAAGAAGAAAGCAAAAGGTTTTGAAAATTTATTTTTAATGTATAAAATATGAGTAAACAGGTTTTTCTAATGGTATAAAGTATGAAACTGATTAATGAAAAATAACTTGTGTAATTATCTGTACATAATTACAATGATTTGCATCTTATCAGCTACCATACCTTTTTCTTATCAGCAATCTGTTACTATTAATAGATTTTAAAACGATATACAACATAATTATATAAACATGTAGTCACGTGATTCTTACGAAAGACCAGGGAGAATTTGTTTATAATTAGATAAAATAATGTAATATAATAGGTCTCATAAAATATAAACAACCAAATAATTTTAAAGTGTCATTTCAAATATCATTCATGATTTATATATTATAAAATAGCAATGCTTGACACATAGAAACAAGAACCGGTTGAACCGGGTGATGCTCCCCGAGAAGGTTCTGGACACAGGAAAGTATAAAAAAAATGAACAAAGGGCAAAAACTCCAAACAGGCAAGGCAGAGGTATGTTTTTTTGCACTGCACTTCTATTCAATGAGATCTATCTATCTATAAAGTTTCCTGATGATATCAGAATTATGTCCCGGGTAAAATTCAAAGTGTAAAAATGAACAAAGGGCAATAACTCCAAAATAAGACCAGGCTTTGTTTAGGTTCTTTAAGCATTGAAGTTCTATCCAATTATATCTAGCTACCTACAAAGTTTCATGTTGATATCTCTAATAGTTTTAAAGTTATGTCACGGACAAAAGTCAAAAAGTAAAAATAAACAAAGGGCAATAACTTCAAAATAAGGCAAGGCAGAGTAATGATTCTTAAGCACTGCACTTCCATCCAATGAGACCTATCTATCTACAAAGTTTCATGTTGATATCTCTTATAATTTTAGAGTAATGTCCCGGACAAAGTTCAGTGTCAAAATGAACAAAGGGCAATAACTCCAAAAGTAGGCAAGACAGTGTTACAGTTCTTGTGCACTGCAAACCTACTTAATGAGATCTATCTACCTACAAAGTTTCATGTTGATACCTATTATAGTTTTACAGTTATGTCCTGGACAAAGTTCAAAGTGTGAAAATAAACAAAGGGGGATAATTAAAAAATTAGGCAAGGCAGAGTTACGGTTCTTGTGCACTGCACACTTACTCAATGAGATCTATCTACCTACAAAATTTCATGTTGATACCTCTTATAGTTTTACAGTTATGTCCTGGACAAAGTTCAAAGTGTAAAAATAAACAAAGGGGAATAATTCAAAAATTAGGCAAGGCAGAGTTACGGTTCTTGTGCACTGCACACCTACTCAATGAGATCTTTCTACCTACAAAATTTCATGTTGATACCTATTATAGTTTTAGAGTTATGTCCCGGACAAAGTTCAAAGTGTAAAATAAACAAAGGGGGATAATTCAAAAATTAGGCAAGGCAGAGTTACGGTTCTTGTGCACTGCACACCTACTCAATGAGATCTATCTACCTACAAAGTTTCATGTTGATACCTATTATAGTTTTAGAGTTATGTCCCGGACAAAGTTCAAAGTGTAAAATAAACAAAGGGGGATAATTCAAAAATTAGGCAAGGCAGAGTTACGGTTCTTGTTCACTGCACACCTACTCAATGAGATCTATCTACCTACAAAGTTTCATGTTGATACCTCTTATACTTTTAGAGTTATGTCCCGGACAAAGTTCAAAGTGTAAAAATAAACAAAGGGGAATAATTCAAAAATTAGGCAAGGCAGAGTTACGGTTCTTGTGCACTGCACACCTACTCAATGAGATCTATCTACCTACAAAGTTTCATGTTGATACCACTTGTTGTTTCAAAGTTATGTCCCGGACAAGAAAAGGGGACGGACAGACGGACGGACGGACGGAAAGACGGACGGACGGACAAGGCGGCGACTATATGCTCCCCCGAAATTTTTTCGGGGAGCATAAAAAGTAAAAGTAACCCTAATATTCAATGACTGATCCTTGGGGATACGTTATTGATTCATTTTATGAAAATTGTTATGTTGCTTTTTAAGATGTCAATATGTGTATATTTCATTTCACTGAGCAAATTTATCATATGTTTGAATTTTTTAGATTACTGAAAAATAATTGTTAACTTTAATTGTTCAATAATTCATATGTTTTTATTTTCAGATTTTAAGGGCTTCTCCTACCATAGCCTAGGTATAATATTAAACTGTTACAAATATAGTCGCCGGTTTCTACCGGCGACTAATAAAATGTATTGTCATATATAGCATTATGCCATGCATAAATATATTTAAAGTGAACACACGAGAAAAATTCAGATATTGATAAAAATCCATTCTAGATCTATGGTACATGGTCAGTGACCAACAACTATGATCCTGAAAAAGTGTGTACTCAAAAAATGGGTATAATGCCTATACAATCTATACTATAGTTATGGGTCTTGCAAAATGAAATAACATTATGGATCTTGAAGATGTGTCTTAAGTTTCAAGCAAAACCTTAGCCCAATGATATACTGAAGCCTGGGTGAACAGAATACCCTCACCTTTAAATAGCTTAACTGAAAAAGACCTCCGTATAAACAAAATACTAACATACAAATATTTGTGTAAAATCATTGACTTTCAATAGAAGTATTCACAAAATCTTTTAAAGCTTTAATAAACAGTTCATTTGAAATACACAATAACCAAATAACATTTATAAATCAAACTTGGTCAATAACGATATACATGTCCATGCATTACATTACATAAATGAAATATCCACGATAATGGTAGTCATCTTTTTAATTCTATTGCTACTCGATGTAATAATTTTTTTCATTAGACTAAGTAGTAAGTGGACATTTAAATGTATATTGTTAAAAATCAAGAACCAAATTAACCAAAAAAATGGTTCTTTTATCTCTATCCTGGTTCTATCATTTAAACACATTATTTCCATCCATATTGTGAAAGTTTTAACTACTTTATACTGTTTCTCTTCATTTTTTCTTTGCCTTCGCCTTTGCTTTTGCCTGTTTTTTCTGTGTTTTCTTTACTTTTTTCATTTTCCTTTGACTCATCCACACTGGGTAATTTCCATGCTCATTTTTTAATGTCTTTGGATTGTAATTTCTCGAGGCCTTAGAGGTATCCATCTTCTGATCTGTAACATGCAATATTCTTGAATTAATAATTGAACCTTTTGAGAGGGAATGAATCTCATTCTATCTCACCTATAAGCCAATAATATGTAAAACCAGACTGGTCTAAAAGTCAGTGCAGTCTGATTAACAGAATGATTAACCATTCTATTTCATTACCCATTAACCTGCTGAATATTTGAAATATGAATTTTGCCCTGTCCAATAAAAGTTCAATGGGTTATCTATATAGAAATACAAAACAAATTGAGCTACCAACAGTATTCAAGCTGCCTGGCTCTTTACTCTTAACTAATTCCATTTTGTTTTTACATGCATGGTACATAGAAGAGGCTATCTATATATACACAGATTTCTTTCTTTCAGTCAATTAAATTTATCAATTAGCTTATAACTCAGCTGCTGTTATAATATGGTTCTGGTAAAAATAATAATGCGAACATAGAATTTAAAGGGGAAATATAACCTATTTTAGGCTATTGGAAAAATCACTGCCTTACATGTAATAGTGCCATAAATCCTTAGTGTAATAAGAAAGACATCAGACTTTTATTGAAACAGGCTTTTCTTACAATACATAATTATTCAGTAATTAATATATTAACTTCACTGTAAAATTTATTAGTGTTTGAAATTTTTTTGATCATATAGTATCTTGCAGTATTACAAATGAATCGTAACACATTAACTTTAATGTAAATCGGTAATTTGATTATCAGTCTAGTAAATTGACTGTTTATAAAAATGATTTAAAACACTAAGCTGGTTACAATTTATAAGAACATATTTACAAAATTAAATTGGTCTCGTCTGACCAATTTAATTTTGTAAATTAGTACTAATAAACTTTAACCTATATGTAGCAATGTTTAAAATCCATTAGTATACAATCACGTAATCAATCATTTTTACAAACTCAATATTTTTAAGGCAGATGTTAACAGTTACATGTATAACTATAAATAGTAAAAAATATGGTATTACCTTCTTTAAGCTCTGTTGCACTTTTAACTGAAATATAAAAATATGTTGCAATTAAAAAACTTGGTTAATCAAATTTTAAACTACCAAATAAAGGAATAATAAGATGCTGATATTGAGGAGATACTGACAATTTGTCTGTCTTTCCATGCACTGTTTTCCTTTATAGCAGCCACTTGGGTAGAAAGAAAGCTTACATAGTATTATACTTCATCATTTCATGTATATGAAAAAAATTGCAATATTACTTATAACAGTCTATTAAATCATATTTAAACCATCATTCAATTTAACTGACATTGCTAGAAAATTCAATTGAATTAATTAACATTGCTAGGATGAAAAAGATCTGCCAGATACATACAGACAGCGCATTTGACTATTTTCAGTGCTTGGTAGTAACCCAGCCATCTAATTAGTGTAGGATTTTTGTGCCCCCACTATGGGGGACATTTAGAGTTACACTTGTCCATCCGTCCGTTCCCTTTTTGTGTCGCATGTAGCCCAAAGAGTAATTGACCTAGAGTCATGAAACCTTACAGGAATGTTGATCAGCATGTGAAGATGTGCACCTGGGTATTTTCATGTGGATATATTAAGTATTTTTAGAGTTATTGCCCTTGAATTAGTAAAAATTTGCAATTTTCAACTTGTGTTGCACGTAACTCAAAAAATATTTGACCTAGTCATGAAACCTTACAGAAATGTTGATCAGCATGTGAAGCTGTGCATCTGGGTATTTTCATGTGGATGTATTAAGTATTTTTAGAGTTATTGCCCTTGAATTAGTAAAAATTTGCAATTTTCAACTTGTGTCGCACGTAACTCAAAAAATATTTGACCTTGAGTCATGAAACCTTACAGGAATGTTGCTCAGCATGTGTAGTTGTGCACCTGGGTATTTTCGTGTGGATATTTTTAGTTTTTTTTTTAAATTATTGCCCTTGACTTAGTAAAAATTTACAATATTTAACTTGTATTGCAAGTAACTCAAAAAGTTTATGACCTGTAGGCCTTGAAGTTTACAAGAATGTTGGTCAGCATGTGTACTTATGCACCTTGGGGTTTTCTTGTGGCTTTATTCAGTATTTGTAGTATTTGCCCTGTACTTAATAAAAGATTTTTAGTTTTTAACTTGGGCACATGTAGCCAAAAAAAAAATTTGACCTAGAGACATAAGATTGACAAATCAGTGGAGTGTGGGGGCACCCATGTCCTATGGACACATTTCTAGTTTTTTTCAAGTTCACAAATAGTTATTTTCAGTAGATAATCTTGTTACTATATTGATCTTGAAAAAAGATCTATAATTATGATCCTTTATATGTTAACCTTAGTTTAAAGAGAATATTTTTAACTTCATTGTCAGCATAACTATTGCATTTACCAAGAATTTTCGAAGATCACATAGGGATAATATTTAGTCAAATAATGCTAGAATTATGGGTCTTGTATAGTGACCTACAACTATAAGGACCTCAACAATTGTGCATGAATTCTTTCAGTTGCTGGAGGCTGCATGCAAACCATATCCTTTACCCTGCTGACAACAACTAAATCTACCCATGTGACCAAGATTAGCTGGCACATAAGTGTCAATTGACCATGGTCTGTAATGTTTGCTATTCTGTCAGTATTGTACATACATGTATTTTGTCTGATGGCTTATTCTGTTCATTTGTTGCTGTTGTTGTTCAATTAGTACTTGTTTTGAAATTTTCCCTCAGAAAATGAATGATTTCAAATGTCCAGATTAAAAATTGACAGTCTATTTCAGATATTTAATATTTGAAGGATGAAAGCCATCCAGTATTTTACAGACAGCTTTGCTTATACAAATGTAGGAAGATTAGCCCAAAATAAAGGTAAAAATGGCAGAAATTATGTTGTTAATCAAAACGTTATCTTACAAAATAAGTTGGTCTGTCTTAATTTAAAACCATATACATGTATATTATTTCTCTATTACAAAGTACCTGTAAACATTTCTTTCATTTCTACATCCTTCTCAGCCTTTGCCTTCTCTACAACATCCTTTAACATTTCTAGTTCCTTCTTTCCAAATGCTTCCCGTTTTATATTTCTCATTTTTCTTCTCCTTTTGCTTCGGATACTTTTTGCCATGATCTGAGTGTAACAAAAATCAACACAAGCATAATATTATAAACAGCAGAACAAAGGTATTATAAATTATTGCTGGAACATATTTACTGTCGTCATAGTGTTAAAATGATAGTGTTGAAATTACAATGATTGAATCACACCAATATGCTCCAGTTTAGCACAACACTGCACCCACCACTATTTACAGAATAGTGTCCCTGACTTTAGAACTCACACATAAACAATATACAGATAATCTAAGAAATATTTAGTTCCCTTTAGAAATGAAGTATATGCAGCATTGCTCGCCCATATGGTTTATTCCATTGGGGAGGTTAAATAAACCAAATACACAAACATTTTAGAACACCCTGCAAATAAATTTCAGTTTTATGTCTTATCATTGAGAGGTTGTTATAACTCATGTTGTTACCTGTGGGATAATTTTGGACTCTGGTGGAAGGGCTAAGCCGTTTTTAAGCCCCTCTTCATTTGGCAAACTTTCTCCGCTACTTAATCACAAATACATTTATTTATATGCACATATCCAGCTTACAGTTTATACTGCTGTGTGATTGTTTACAGCATAATGAAATATTATTACATGAAAAAGTAATAAACTTCATTAATTACAGCCAAAATTAAGTTTCAAATGAAAATGTAAGAAATACACAATTTTAGACAGTCGCGAAAATGGGTGACATTACAATTTAACTTTGTGTCTGGATACACTACAGCCACTTAATATATAGAAATAAGTAAAATTAGTGACAACATTGATATATGAGATACATATGAACAGTTACCTTTGATAAATGTGCACAATAAAGGAGTTGTTTGATCGTAACACGTGTGTTCTGTTTGTAAACAAGATAGCTAATATCTTGACCGTACTGTACCGTGTCCTCTGTTCTTACACCGGTATCCGGTATAATATGGACCTTTTGCCTCCCTACATAATTATCTAGTTTTTCAACGATGACTGTATTTATAAAATCAGATAGTACACAGCATATTTGTAATCATTCTTTTATATGTATATTGTATATGTTTTCTTTAACCATCGACTACTTAGGCCTATATATATAACATTTGATAAATTTTATTCAATCTTAATAACTATACTGTATAATAATTATATGCATACTAAAGATGTGATAGGCATGACCCAATCAGATCATTTTTATGTAATTTCATTGATCGATTTGCTTTCTTTAGATGCCAGATTTTATTGTTCCGGTTGTTGCATTGTGGCAAATGCATGTTGCATATTCACATATCTTATTTGGATTTTAAAATGCATTCTAGCTTGTGTCATAGTCTATGCATGAATATCCGAATACTATAAGGCCTATATCGTATTGCAAGCCTGCTTGCAGTCTTGCTGTTTAAAAACTGGTTTATTTTGGTTTTGAAATGACTATGTTCAACAAGCAGCTAAAGAATTAACATTACACCCCTATACTGTTAAATAAAGTACACTAATCATAGTACATGACAACGTTAATTAATTTACCAAGATTTTTTTTATAAGATAATTCAGTCCTTGAGTTGGCATCTGCGGTCCAGTGATTAAGGTCGTTGGCATCAAACCACTTGCCCCACACCGCTGTGGGTTCGATTTTTCAGACAGACACTATGGATTCTTTCATGTGAGGAAGCTATCCTGCTAGCTTACGGAACGTCGGTTGTTCTACTCAGGTGCTCGTTCGTGCCTTAAACTAATGAACGGAAGGGCACCTGAGCTCTTCCTCCACCATTAAACCAACATCTCCATATGACCAATACTGTGTCGGTGTGAAATAAAATCCAATCAATCAAACAAACAAATTTACAGTATTTGATTCTTTTTTAATCTTCTTTTAAATAACTAAAACGATAGATAATGTCCAATCACTCTTATTTTCTTGTTTAATACATATATGTTGAGGGTTCAATTCAATTCAAACAAACAAACAAACAAACAAACAAACAAACAAACAAACAAACAAACAAACAAACAAACAAACAAACAAACAAACAAACAAACATTATTGAAACAAAAGGAGCTAGTCGCATTGATTTGACCTAAAATATATTTAACCTTGTATTTCTGCACTATAATATCCATATACGCGTATTAGAAAAATAAAAAAAAATCTAATATGTTTTGTTATATTAAAATTGTTATAGTAATATAATAGAAAAAATAGATTTAAAAAATTATATATATTTTCATAAATATTTTATGTCAAAATCAAGGCGATAAGCACCTTTGATACAAACTGTACGTATTTCGATCTTTTGCCTATCTGAAAAGACAAAATAGTAGTCCGTTTTGATGAAAATAAGTATGATAGCCTTATTCATCATACGAAATCGATACAATATTGGTAGGCTATTTGCCCCCGATAATTCAAGAAATAGCAGACGAGATGCTTTCTGTATCTGATATATATTTTGGCGGTAGCTGAATGTGCCAAATTCAATGTTCACATTTCCAAACTGTGTAAAAATGTTAAGCTTTGTTTTATGTATTTAATTACGAGAGCGATTAATCTTTTGGGCAGCCGTGCGTAAATATTTTCCGATACTCACTTGATTGGAAATAATATATATGTTGCCATGGAAACGGGAATTTCTGTTTGATTGACGACAAATTGAAGTATTGAGATGGAGATGGGAATGGATTAAACTTTTCTGGATGCGATTCAAACAACGCAGGTATGTTATTTTATCAATAATTGTATAATTCCAACTTCGTAATTTATAAATACATTTTTCCTTATTAAACTATTATTTGGACAATTATTGTATTCTCAAAGCACAGACGTGATCGAATATAAGAAGATAATATTAATTTGTTTCTAATGAATATGAAATATATCTCAATAAAGAGTGGTATTTATATAATATATTATGATTATTTTCCAATAGAGGAAAGCGTGTATGATTTATTTTTAAAATCTCACCGCGAAGTAAGATTATGTTTCAATATTTTCTCGAAACGTTTTTTTTACACAACTTTATGCATTACGTTGTATTATATTGACATTGAATTTAACAAAACCATTGCACCAAACTACGATCGACGTGCATTTACGAGTATACTTTATGATGCTAGGTACCATGCAACATGAAAATCTTGGTCCGTTTTGGATAGCTCTTTATCTTTCAATGTTTGCGCAAAGAACTGGCGCAAAATTTCTATTTTTTCACGTAATGACTTATCTAATTGATCTTAATCTTAAGCTGAAAAGCAACATATTTAGAGACATTATTTATATTTATATTATGTTATATTTATGTTTTGTTCAGTATAAAAGGTAATAGTGTAACTATATATTTTATCTAACGATAAAATGCCAAATGGGTAGTATAGCTATTTTCAGATTTTTTAAAGATTTTTGTTCATGCAAAACTATCTTTTTTCATTATGGCAAGTGTAATACGTACATGCACTCGTACTTAAAAATAGTAGTTATATGTAATAATTATGATCGCGTGTGTTTTAAGTTTGAAAAAAGTAAGGAAAATGTCAAAAATCGTGAATGGGTCCCCTTAAAGCTAAATTCCAAAATATTGCTGTTCCCCCTAAAACAACGATACTAAATGTGTCACCAATGAAGGTCATGGATCCAGTCTGACCAGGCGCTTAACCGGAAGCTGCGCGCAATTCTGTTAATTTGTTATTTAAAAATCCTTTAAATTCAAAACGTACAATTCCGAATTTAAACCCTGCCAAGTCATTTGCATACATTCACCAGGATAGCGGTTAATAAATACTGAAAATAAGAGAAGTTTGGAAATAGCAATAATAGTTTGTCTTGAAGTAAAGGCTAATGAAGAATTCTTATACCAAACTGTCAGACACCGAAAGTTTATGAATACAAAGTAATTGGAAATGCTGAAAAGTAAACCTATGGGTGGTATAACATATTAAATATTCTAGACTTCGATCAAAACTGATTTTTTTTGCAATTATAATTTTATAGTTGTATTATCTGATCCGCATAAAAGCAAGCGTCAATGTTATCTCGCGTCGTTTGTCCCTTTTCTGCGTCCGTTTGTTGCCTGCAAAAATAAAACATATGCTTTGATAATGCGTTATAAAGTTATAATGCGGGCGCTATTTGTAAAATCTGAGAGGAGCGGCATGCAAGTCAAACTGGCTATAAAATTAATTAATTAGTTATTAAACAGAAGAATGAATAATGAAATAGGGAATGCTTTAGAATGATTATTTATATATATGAGTCTGAATAAAATGTAACAAGTAATTAATAAGATATTAAGGCTACAATAGATATATGCAAATACATTGTTTGACCAAACGATGTATATATACAATAATTCGACATTGTATCGAAATTATATAAATAAATAAATAAATAAATAAATAAATAAATAAATAAATAAATAAATAAATAAATGAATAAGTGTTTAATACAACATTAGATAAAGATAAATTACATTGTCAATGTATTGCTAAAATAGTTACTTTGGCCGTATCGACTTTTGCCTTAATTAACTATATATATATATTATATATATAGAAACCGGTTGGCAAATAATTAAATAAGTTAACTCATGGACTGTGTTTTTTGTTTATTTATATATATATATATATATATATATATATATATATATATATATATATATATATATATATATATATATATATATATATATATATATATATATATATATATATATATACGATAAGAAAAGAATGAGAAATAAGAAAACGATATAGTTATATAATATTGAAAACAACGACGCAATCTCATGCTATAGAATTATTATTAGATGCAAATATATAATGGTAACTGGAGTTCCACACCTGCTCTATATGAACTTACAGTAAAACGTGAAAACTTTTATTTCTTTTATTATAGATAGTATCATATCATTGGTGTACATGTATTTGAAAATGAAATCCCGTCCATCACGGACAGGTTTTCATTAGGATCAGGCTATTTTTTATCATCTCTACACGGTTTTAACATATCGGTTGCTTCTAACACAGGATTGTATTGTCTGTATTCTGTTTTTATACATATATATGGTAATGTTTTGTTATAAAAAAATAAGACAAATTATATTTATCATGGTATAATATTAAGAGGGTCGGTGGTTTATTTTTTATAACATGTCTGCCTCTCAACCCAGGGGTCCTACTTGGGCCGCATATGACACCAGTACTGATACAGAGACATGTTTTAATTGCACAGAAAACAACAACAAATAAATCAAATTGGTATCCATGATTGAATGTCAGGTTGTTACTATTTATGTGCATGACAATTATGAAGAATGTATTATACAATGTACATGAACCTTCGATGAATTTTATTGAATTGACGGAAGTTTATTAATAAAATTAACCTTCGAACTTATTTTTTTATTGACACAATGTTTCCCAAGACAATTCATAAATTAATAAAAGCACATTTAGGAGGAAGTAGTTAATGGACATATTTACGTATCTAATCATTCATATGACAGATAAGCGCAATAAGGATAACTTTATACATGTATAATGTAAATAAAAATTATCAAGGATGTTTAATGTAATTTTGCATCCGTTAAAAGTTGGTTAAAATTTCATCCGCCAATTGGATATTACCGTTTGAACTGTACGTGGAACACCTTTGCGGGCTATTAAGTAAGTTCTTTTTTCTTTCTGTCTCCATTTTGATTTAGAAAATATTCATCGTTCATTCATTTATTTTATTTTATTTTATTTTATCTCATCTTATCTATTTATTTATTTTTAATCGAAACACCTCATGAATTTTCCTTATTCGAAGTTTGGCGGAAGTAGCCGAAAAGTTACGATTGATGCCGCTTCTGCACCTGGTCACGATACTTTTTACTTGTAACTAGATAAAAAAACTTGTAAAATATACAACATATGTTTATAACATCTTATAGCAATAACTTGTTGTAATAAGAAACCA